TTCGGAAATGGTCTGCTGATTGATTGAGAATGCTGAAAGCGCACACGGGGCCCAAGGAGCACACAACTGGTCTGAGCGAAATTGCACAAATAACTGAATTGAAATATCCCCCCGCGAAACCCATGGCGAGGCAAGGGCAACAGAGACAGAGCCTGAGAGACAGCCTGTCGGCTGGGGCGAGAGCGCGAGCGAGAGAGAAGGCATTTGCTTATTTTCGTTCGAAAATTTCTTACAAATTTCCTAAAAACCCAACATCCCCATAGAGTGGAGGTGTCGCAGAGTGTGCGGTTCGACAATCCCACTCGAGTGCATTTTAATTGATTTTTTTTGTATTTTTTTGCCGCCCTCACACCCCCTCCCTCCTGCCAACCACCCGCTTAGTGCACTCAGAGCGAGACGGCCTCAGCGTGCTCATCTCTCTCTCGGACCCATGCGGCGTATGCGTAACATTTTCAGCTGCACTTTTGCATCCGCCTCCACCGCCGCTTAGCTGCAACTTTGAGTGAGTTTTCCTGATAGCCATTGCCCCTGACGGGGCCAGCGCATTCTGAGTGATTTCTCAGCGGGACGATCTCTTCGGGGCCAGGGCATTAGTTGCTGCAGTTGCTGTAGTTGCTGCTCCTCTTCATATTTTTCAAGTTTTAATTAGCTTTTCGTTTTTTAGTGCATTCCTGACAAGCAAACAAAAGTTGCTGCTGCATCAAATTTTTAATTAATTACATGTAAAACTGTTGCCCAAATTGGAAAAGTATCCAAAAACATGAATGGTTCGGACATTTTCGGACTAACAATTAGCATTTTACTGTCCCAAAAATTATCACAAAAAAACAAGAAAACAAAACAAACAAAAAAAAAAAGGTAGAAAAAGAGCAAAGTGAAAGGAACGAAAAGTTTAATGAAGTTTTGTGAAGGATAGCTTTCATTTTTCCGTCGAGGGGTTGAGCAAGTGCTAGAGAGGTATAGACAAACTTTTTAATATGAAAATTGCTCATTTGGGGCAAGGAAATTAAGTGGCGGGGCACGGGCTACGGGGTTTGGGGCGTACTTTGCCAATTGATTCCAGCCCCTAAGATAGGGATAAATGCTGGTTATTATCTCTGGCATTAAAGGGTTTCCTGAATGCTATTTTTCGTGTAATTGAATTGTAACTAATTATGGAACTGGGATTACTATGAATGCCAGATGATCGCATATGAGGGAAGTTTGGCTATTTTTTGGAGGTCTTAAAGGTTTAAAGAGCCCTCAATTCCATTTTATATTCACTATTCAGGCTCTAAGATTTTAAGGGCACAATCGAAGGAATCTTAGGGAATTTCAGACGTCAAATTCCAAAAGATATTCGACTATTTAGGATAAGATGTTGCCAGTTGGGACCAAGATTGAAATGTTCCTTTTGTTCTTTGTTCCTAGAATCATCCATGGAATACCTTTTGGGATTCTCTTTATTTGGGACTCTCGAATAAACTAAAAATATACCTTAAAGATCTTGAGATGCTTAAGGAATTCCTTACATGCAAAATCGATCATCTTCTACAACGAAATGTAGACTTATATATGACTTATATATGAGGTTACGTGGGGAACCACCTGCAACAACCTGCAAGGCTTGCACTTTGGTGCACTCAAAAACATCACTCGGACTCAATCGGGGAACGGAATGGGCGTACAGGGTGCTTCGAAATCCGAGCTTGAGCATGCGCAAACATGTCCGGACTCGATGCAGATGCAACTCACTCGACTGGAGAGCAGCAACAATGCAACACCTACGCGGCACAAAAGCACACCTGGCCCACCTGCAGAACCGAAAGTAATGCGGCAATGTAGAGTGAAAACGAGAGAGCGAGATGGCAAAAGAAAGAGATGGCGCGCGAGAGATAGAGAGAGAGAGAGAGAGAGAAACGTCAGCTGCGTGCGAACCGAAAGGCTCGACAAAGAACAATAATAGCAGCGATGGCAATTCTATGACATTTTCCATTGTTGGCCAGTGTAAAACCCAACACACACCAACACAAATGAGCACAGTGTAGGGGAAAAGGATTTAAAAATTTATGAATGAATTTTTGGATACTTTTTTGTACACGAATTTGGCAAGTTTTCTGGTCTTTCTCTCTCTCTCTCTCTCTCTCTTTGCCTTTGTCGACTCTGTTTGGAAAATTGCATAAAATATTGTGACTTGTAATTTGTCAATGTACAAGGACGGACAGGCATACAGATTGGGGGGTAATCAGGTGGCAGATGATAGATGTAATCTATACCAGATTGGGGGGGAAATTCCCATGGATGCCCATGCATGACAAAAAGGTAAAAGTCCTTCAGACTGAACTCTCGGTCAATGCTTAAGTCAAATTGATACCCGCCAAAAAGAATTATAATTATTGACCTCATTTGAAGGGCGTTGATGAGCATTGACCACCCAGGCAATGAACCTCAAAGAGTGGAAACCACCCGAACAGCACAGCACCACATGACTAAGCGGCCCATCAAACAATTTTAAGGCTAATGACTATGTTTATGCGGAAAACTTGTGAACCCCTGCGCCACTGAAAAACCGCCTAACTAATTGATACTGAGAGCAAAACGGTTATCATAATAGCATTATGTGTGGGAGGGTTGACAACTTGTAAACAAATATTGTTAAAAACTTTGTTTTGTTTCTGGTCGTGGGAGCACTATTTACGGTTTACACAATATTGTAAAAATACGTATACGCCGCTTGGGTCATGCCCGAGCAAGCAAACAGCGTCAGCGGACAGTGAGGCCGATGAGCAATGCTTGATGGGCGGGCGATTAAGCGCCATTAAAAAAGCGTTTTATGGTTTGGTAAAAATCGCGAATATACCAGTTGGCAAACTCTATAAAATCAGTTAGTGCCAGTGGTTTTGCATTCAGTCTGCGTTCGAGGATTACACACAAAACAACCACCAAAAACAACAAATATGTCTGCAAAAAATACAAGAAATTGCCTCTGGCTGGGCCTAGTCGTATCGGCCACAGTTCTGCAGATGGTTCAGGGCCAGTACTATGGATATCCGTACTATGGTGGGGGAGCGGGCGCCGGCGCTGGATTGGGTGGCGGCTATGGGAACATGTATGGTAATGCCTATGGCTACGGTTATCCCAGCTACGGCGGATATCCCTACTACTCATATCCGAGCTACAATCCCTATTCGATATACGGCCAGTATGGTCAGTACGGTCAGTCCCAGTATGGCTATCCCAGTTACGGCGGTTTCCCGTACGGCGGAGGCAACGGAATGAGTAAGTAGAAATCCATGCACATCTGCCTGAAGCTCCCTTAATCCTTCCGTCTGCAATCTACAAGTGTTTTGGACATGTTTTCTCTTATAGACACGGCCTATGCCAGCAGCAGTGGCGGCTTTGCCACGGCCAGTGCGGGGAGCGGCGGCTACTACGGCTAACCCTGGAGTGATATTATTTCCCTATTACCCTAAGCTAGTTAAAGTGTAAATATTGGTTAATAATTTTTTTTTTCATAAAAAATATGTGTTTTAGCACGAATAAATGTGTGAGAAACATTCGCAAAGCTTCTCAAATTTCAAATCTAGGCGCGGTATTCGATAGCTAACCCAAGTGTTGGCAAATATGAGGTCACAGGGCTGGATAGGTGGAAAGCAGCCACATGGGAGTCATGTTCATTTGAACCAAGACAAAACATTTCGATAGGTGAAAAATAAGGTGGAATTTTTAAAATAGCTAATTTCACTTGGCTAATTAAAAGCGCCAAACCTTAGAAACACTTAATTTTTATTAGAATTATATTTAGAAGCCTCCAATATTGACAGTCGTTATTCATTCTGATTTTCAAATAGTCGCAGTATATCTTCCTTGATTGAGAAATTTGAGCAAGGCTTTATGCAACATATATGACACAAAAATATTGATATTGAAACCGAAAATCGACTTACAATATATAGGTATATATTTAACAACCCAACCGACAGCTACTCAATTTTAGAGCGCTCTTTCTAAATAGCCCCAGCCAAACAAAATAACAGTCTAATAAATGTGTAAAGAAAATTCGCAAAGCTTGTCCATTTTCAAATTTTGGCGCGGCATTCGATAGCTAACCCAAGTGTTGGAAAGTATGACATTGCAGGGGTGCATAGGTGGAAAGCAGTCACGAGCAGCATGCGAGTCGATAACGAACTGAACCAGTTCAAGTTCTTTTGAGCCAAGATAAAACTTTCTCTAGATGAAGTTAATGATGGAATTTCTGAACATGGCTAATTTCAATTGCCTATATAAGACAGCCAGAACTTAGAAAAACTAAACAAAATAGAAGCCTCCAATATAGTTAAAATAATTTCCTAATAAAAATAATAACAAACAAGGCTCTATGGCGCCAAACTTCAAATATGACACAAAAATATTGATATTGAAACCGAAAATCGGCTAATAATATATCGATACATCTTTAACAACCCTACCGGCAACGGCTAAATTTTATAGCGCTCTTTTTATTTGGCTTAAATAGTCCCAGCCAAACAAAAGCACAGTCGCGTTTTTGACCAGCGCCGTCACCTGAAAACACACAAAGTAAGCGTAAAATCAATTTTATTTGTGCACAGTGTGCAATGTGTTACATTGCAAAATATAATGATAGTAAGGGTCTCAAGCGACCAATAAGCTAACAATAAACGGGAGGCAAAAACATTACATTGCATAATGGGTCACAACAGCAGCAGCAGCGGCAGCAGCAACAACAACAACAAGAGCAAAACGGGCCAAAACCAAGTGAATTTTGAATGCGCCTGTGTGTTAGTGTGTGTATCTACAGCTGAGTAACGAATTTTTGTTGTATTTAGTTGCTTTTCGTACGTTTTACTTGGCCTCAAAAATCAACTTGTGACTTGTTCTTGTTTTGTTGGCCTTTTTATTATTATTCTACCGATAAATTTACATACATATGCACATGCATACATACTAATGTTGTCTGTAGTCACGTACAGATGGTATGTATTGGTAAAAATCAATTTTCCTCAGCTTTAATTGCATTTTATTAAAATCACTTGACAATCTGACGAACAATGCAAAAATGCTTGCTCCATATTTGTTCTACCTTTCTCTTTCTAACTTTCATACATAGTTGCTGCTCACGCGCATCGCCGTCCTCTGTCTCTCTCTGCCTCGCAAGAACAACTGCTGGTACACGGTGGGTCGCCTCCCCGCGCTCCCCGTCCAGGCTGCTTAATTTCATAAATCAAGGCAGTGCCAGTTAAAAAACAACAAGAACTATATGTACATACCTTTGGTATAAGCTCCACATATGCACATACTACACACGTATATCGGTTTGTTTCGGCATTAGGAAATTTCCGTAGCCAGCGCACAGTGGTCAAACAATTCAAAACAAGTAGGCGATAATGATATTAGTTCCCTCTAGCCATTCACCTATATCAATAAATTTCAGTCTGGTTTTTTCTGGAATACGGCACACAATATCGGCGAATGAAAGTTTTTGACGGTATGTCGATAGCGGAAAGTTTACAATGAATGTTAGTGTTGGTAAGCATCCGCACCACTGTGCAGCGTACACAGAACAGCTGATGCTTGTCAAATTTTGCTTTTATTGGTGTATGTATGCAAGTTCGTGTGTATTTGTGTGTGTGCGCGAGCAAGAGAAGAGACAATTTAGATACCGAGAAAAAAAACTTGACGAGTTTATTCAGTGTTTCGCGCTAGAAAATCCAATTCAACTTGATATTCGAGCTTATATTACATGCAAGTACAGAAAATTACTTGATCAAGTGTGGCCTTATCTTGGTTTAGGCCCGGGGGGTGTGTCTGTCGGTCTCTCTTCACGTTTGGCTCCTTATCAAAATCACGCGACGGTGACGGTGACGCTGCCGCTGCTGCTCGTGCGACTCGCCCGAGCAGTGTAGCCCCCCAATGAATTTTCAAGGCTGCGCTGATAAATGAAAACTAATCAAATGTTTTTCGTTTCGTTTTGTACCTTTCGCCTGCCGCCTTTGTGCTTATCACACAGATAGCAAAATTCTAGTTGAAACGAAGCACCGCTGACACCGACGACGACAACAGAGCTTATATAACAAGGCAAAAACCGAGACAGGCCCCTTAATCCAGTAAAAGATGTTGCGATTGCTACGCAATACGCCCGCCAGGTGCTCCGGCCAGCAGCAGAGCGTAATCCAGAGGTAAGTTCCTGTTGATTTTCAAGTTGAAAGAGAGGTCCATGTAACACCACTTATCCACCGCTGCTAGCCATGTGCGAGGTCTGGGCTCTGCGATTCCGGAGCTCAAGCTAAAGGACTTTAGTGTCGAGAACGAACCGATTCTGAGCTACCGCAAGGATTCGCCGGAGCGCAAGGCCCTACAGCAGGCTCTTAAGGCCACGGCCTCTCACTGCGAGGAGATTCCCATTGTGATAGGCGGCAAGGAGTTCAAGACATCCGATGTGCGGCATCAGGTTATGCCCCACGATCATGCACACAAGCTGGCCCAGTTCTACTATGCCGATAAGAAGCTCCTGCAGCAGGCCATCAAAACCGCTGTGGAAACGCAGCCCAAGTGGGATCGGGTGCCGCTGGCAGAACGCTTGAATATCTGGGAGAAGGCCGCTGATCTGATGGCCACAAAGTACCGCCAGGAATTGAATTCGGCCACCATGTTGGGACAGTCCAAGACGGTCATTCAAGCCGAAATCGATGCGGCAGCAGAGCTGATTGACTTCATACGGTAAATGGGGAAAGTCAGCCTCAAGGGAATAGCATTTCTAATATCTGGATTCATTTACATGCAGATTGAATGCCTACTTCCTGAAGGAGGTCTCCAAATATCGTCCCATTAGTGAGGACATCAAGGTCACCAAGAATTCCATGCGATATCGTGGCATCGACGGCTTTATTGCCGCTGTCAGCCCCTTTAACTTCACGGCCATTGGCGGCAACTTATCCTACACCCCCGCTTTGATGGTAGGACGACCAAGCCCCTAAAATTCCCAATCAATTAAGCTAACACCCTGTGCACTCCCGTCTCGTTTTCCAGGGCAATGCTGTGCTGTGGAAGCCCTCTGACACGGCCATGCTTTCCAATTGGCGCATTTTCAATATCATGCGCGAGGCAGGAGTGCCCGATGGCGTTGTTAACTTTGTGCCAGCCGATGGGCCGGTGTTCGGAGACACGATTACGGCCAGTCCCCACCTGGCAGGCATCAATTTCACCGGCTCTGTGCCGTAAGTAAGAGTCGGATTATTGATTTCTGTTCTATATTGTATTCTATCTCTCGGACAGAACATTCAACCGCTTGTGGAAACAGGTGGGCAACAATATTGACAACTACATCAACTTTCCCCGCTTGATTGGCGAGTGTGGTGGCAAGAACTTCCACTTCGTGCACAAATCGGCGGACGTCCAGTCGGTAGTCACATCGACAATACGCTCGGCCTTCGAGTACTGCGGACAGAAGTGCTCGGCTTGCTCGCGCATGTATGTGCCCGAGTCTCTGTGGCCAGAGGTTGGTTGGTCGAGCGCCATTCAGCACTGATTGCCCCCTACTAATCTGTTTGACCTTCAACTCTCTCCGCAGATCAAGGCTGGCCTGCAGTGCGAGGCGGAGAAACTAAAAATAGGCGATGTCCAAGACATCAGCAGCTTCACATCGGCTGTCATTGATGACAAAGCATTTAAACGCATTACCAGCTATATAGAGCATGCCAAGAAGTCTCCAAACCTGGAGATAATCGCCGGCGGTACCTACTCGGACAGCAAGGGCTACTTTGTAAATCCAACCATTGTGGTTAGCAAAGATCCCAAGGATCGGATCATGGTTGAGGAGATCTTCGGGCCCGTGCTGACCATCTATGTGTACAAGGAAGCGGACTTGGCGGAGACCATGAAGCTGGTTCACACCTCCACAAAGTTTGCCCTAACTGGAGCAATATTCGGACAAGACGAGTAAGCGAAAGATCTGAAACTCGTAAATATGTTGTTTAATTTCTTTAATCCTTTGCTAAGGAATTGGGTCCAAACCGCTTTGGAGGAGTTCAAATGGGCTGCCGGAAACTTCTACATCAATGACAAGTCGACCGGATCTGTTGTGGGCCAACAGCCATTCGGTGGCGGTCGGATGTCCGGTACCAACGACAAGGCTGGCGGACCCCACTACATTCTACGCTGGACTTCACCGCAGTCCATCAAGGAGACGTTTGTGCCCCTGCGTGACGTCAACTATCCCTACATGAGCGAATAAGCTGATGAACGATGATGATGAAAGTGAAGGAGGGGAGCAGAGGAGCCGAGAAGCAGAAGCTAAAACCGACAGGAATCTCATATAACTACTAACTATATAAATATATATAAATGTATATGTATTTTGTTGAACTATTTTTAAACAACACCCAAACGCCCACCCCTATCCCCGCCCCGTAACACCTGCCCTAGTTCAGATAGTTAATGTTGTGCACACACACACGAATCTCGGATGAGAGCGAGAATCCATGAGAATGAAAAACTGTTGTAAATTGATATGCTGATTACCCTTTTAAACCGTCACACACACACACACACACACACGAACACAACCACATGATTATATGCCGCGAATACTAATCTAATATCTATAAAACCTAAAGTTTGAAACGTATTGTGATTACTTAATTATATAATTTTTTAAAATTATGTTTGTCCGCCTTTTGTTTTTATCCTTACGTTGATGTATTCTGTTTGTTTTCAGTTGGGATCTGTACAATATGATATACATATATGCCTCTATATACACCACACAAACGTATGTAAAAGCAAACAAACACTTGACAATACATTTCGATTACTAAATGTGAAAGATCATAAAAGAGATAAATGGAAACTTAGTAACATACAGTAAAAATAAATATTTAAATTTCAAAACTAATCAGAATATGCACTATTTTTATTATTACAAGGGGAGGTCACTGTTGCTTCCCGAAGAGATGTTGCGATGTAGGATGTCATCTGCTCCATTTCACAGAATCTACAGGAGTCTATCTTTACTTATTTCCATTTTAGGTACAATTTCACTAAATTGTCTTTAAAACTCTGTGGATGATGGCAGCATCGGTTGGCGGATTCCTTATTTAATGCGTATTGATGAAATATTATTTAGAAACAGATTTCAAACCGATGCTTCATTGCAAAATAAAAAAAAAAACCTTTTAATCATTCATGAAATCTTCTATACAAGTTATAATCATAGCATAATCAATCCCTTAACTCGCTCTTTGAAGAGACAGTCCAAATGCTCTTTTCAGAAGTCTTGAAGAAAGCGTTAGATAACGAGATCTTATACCTATTGTTGATTAAACCGCATTGCGAAAGAAATTATACTTTTGTAACGAATTGGCATATCAAGGAGTCAGAGGGCTGATGATAGTGATAGTCTCCACCCAGAATTGCTTGGACGATCGTTCTCATGTTAGATGCATATACGCATGTGCATATGATAGATATACTTACTGTGTAAATAAAACAGAAGGATCCGCGAAAAGGTAATACCTTGCAAAGGGACGTAGAGTACGGGCGTAGAGTAGGTAAAGACGAGCGGGAACGTTGTGATCCCCGGCTCTACAATTTAAACATGTGTCGTTTAGGAAGGATTTTACAATAATAAAAAAAATAAAAGAAATAAATCGATCAAACCGTTTGGGATATTTTTATATATTAGATTTTATCATATTATTTTTTTAGATTATATTAGATTTTTTAAATGGAAACATTTTTCTTAAATTTCTTTTTTTACATCTGTCTCTTTTTTTTCTATTCTCCCGATAACACAAGCTCTTTGACTTTATCTCGCTCTTTTCCGTAACACCGCGCACACTGCACGACTACAGTGTGAGAGAGAGAGAGAGAGAGTGCGAGAGGTAGTACATTGCAAAGGAAGGTAGAGTAGATAAAAATGCACTTAAGAGCCAAAAGGGACATGATTTTACCCAAAAAATAAATCGACCGAACCGTTTGGGACATTTTTATATATCAGATTTAATCTACTTCCTTTTATCTTAAAAGTTTCGTTGTACATCTGTCCCTTTTTTTTCTATTCTTACACCAACCAAAAGCTTTTTATCTCGCTCTTTTCCATAAGACCGCGCACACTGCATGACTAACAGTGTGTGAGAGAGAGAGAGAATGAGTAGGCGCGTGGAACGAGTAGCGTAGCCACTGCAATTTTATTTGTTCATTCTGGCTATAATAATAATGATACGTTTTGATCCAGCAGATCCGGCACTCTGGTAGATATGGTCTCTGCATCAAGAATTTATATACTTTGCGGGGTCTGAAACGCTTTCTTCTGGGTGTTGCACACATCTACTTTCACCACAAATATAATGTACTCCTATATCTACCAGATTGCCGAATCTGGATCAGATCGAGTCATTATTATAACCAAAAGGAACAAATCAATTTTCAGTGGCCTCACACCACAAATCCAATATATCCCAAAACTTTCGACTACCGGATATTTGTATTGAAGTTTTGGAATATGTTAGGCCGTGTGCTTATAAATGGCAAGGCAAGTCCTATGTTTGGCACTCGAAAAATATTCAGGAAACCCATTAGTGAAATTATATATATTATATAAGAAAAAAATTGTTTCTATTGAAATAAGAGTCTTAAACAATCATTTAGTGTGTGGTTACGGTTTTATTGACCGCCAGTTCTCATTTCGGATTATTTCAATTTAAAATGTAGGCTCTATAATATAAGGCATATGAAATCAAAAAAAAGAAAAGGATTTTACAGATTGGCAATATATTATTGCATATGATGCCATAGTGTAACTGCTGTGTATTGGTATAATGATGTAGAGACTACTCTACAAAGATTTCTTATCCGTTAGAATATAGAATATTATATATAGTGTGTGAGCGCACTCGTAAATCTAGTCAAATTTTATTGAATTGACGCCTGTGTCAATTGCGCCGCCCCGATAGCTGCCGCGCTTCTTCTTGGTCTTCTCGTGCTTGAAGGACTTGCCGCGGGTGTGCTTCAGGTCGATGTTGGCCCGTTCGCCCCAGGAGCCGGCAGCGTTTTTCTATACAGGGGGTACGGTTCGCGTAAGTATAAAATTGTTTAAACAGATTTAATTCTAATTACATAACAAATCTGCATACATCTGCGCGCGTTTGTGTGTGTACGTGCTTGTGGGTGGGGGGAGGGAGGGAGAACTTAACTAGATCTAATTGTCGAAGGTGATTTTCTTGTTTGGCTTCGGCGCTGAGGAGTCGAAGGATTTGTTGCCGAAACCACCGCCGCCGCGCCCGCCGCCGCCACGGCCACCAAAGCCGCGTCCGCCGCGGTCGCCTCCACGCCCTCCTCCAAAGCTGCCGCGGTCGCCTCCACGTCCACCGCCAAAGCCTCCGCGTCCGCCGCCACCACGTCCGCCAAAGCCGCGTCCGCCGCGGTCGCCTCCACGGCCACCGCCAAAGCCGCCGCCGCCGCGGTCACCTCCACGACCACCGCCAAAGCCGCCACCGCGTCCACCGCCACGTCCCTCGAATGGCTTCTTATCAAAGCCACCAAAGCTACGGCGATCGCCCATCTTCTTGAATCCACCGCCCTCGCCGCCTTCCTCGCCGCCGTTCTGATTGTTGCTCTCCCAGGTGCTGCGATCCGGACGTCCGGCAAAGCCGGAGCCTCCACGTCCGCCGCGTCCGTTGTGCTTCTTGAAGCCGTCGCCATTCTGCAAGGGAGAAAGGCCAAAGAGGGCAAACCACAAATTAGCAAACGATTTGCAGATGTATAAAACGAAAGAGTAGGGAAACGTAGGTTGGCCGTCAAGTGCCACAAATGATTTGAGTTTTTTGTCGGGACGTCTTGTCTTGCTAATTTGTGTGTTTTGCCCCCCGCCCCTGGCTGCGTAATTCTTCAGAGAAGCCCTAGCCCTAACCACATGCCTCTGCACGCACACACACAAACACACACGTCTGACGCGACTCAAATGCATTTGCGGCACTCACCTTGGCCTCAAAGGACATGTCTTGGACTCGGGCATCGACGAGAACCTCCTCTGTCCGCACGCGACGGAAGGGAGAACGACGTCGGCCACTCCCACCACCGCCTCCGCTGCTGTTCAACTGCCTGCTATTGTGGCTGTTGTTGTGGTTGTTGGGAGTGGAGGTGAAACCATTCTGCTGTGGTTTTGCAACAGATTAATCTCTCAATTGCTTGACAGGATTTGTTTGGAGGAATGGACAAAGGGAAAGATAAAACTCACCTTTTGGTCTCCCGATTTGACAAAGTTGTTGTACTTCTTGTTAGGTGTGGCCTCCTCCTCATCCCCGCCGCTGAACTTGCGCTTCTGGCCAGCCTTGGCGTCACCGTTGGCCTTAGGCTTCTCCTCTTCGGAGTCATCGCTGTCGCTGTCGTCGCTGCTTTCCTTGGCCTTCTTGGCCGCTGGCTTCTTGGCAGCTGGTGCTTTCTCCTCGTCGGAAGAGTCATCCGAGGAGGAGTCGTCCTTCTTGGCCGGTGCCGCAGTCTTCTTCACTGCCGGCTTGACAGCAGCAGGAGCCTCATCATCACTGGAGGAGTCTTCGCTGCTCGATTTGGCCGCCTTAGCTGCAGGCTTGGCTGCAGGCTTTGCTGCAGGCTTGGCTGCAGGCTTGGCTGCAGGCTTGGCTGCAGGCTTGGCCTTAGACTTGGGCTTTTCGTCCTCAGAGCTCTCGCTATCATCCGAAGAGTCTTCGGATTCACCTGCCTTCTTGGCTGGAGTAGCAGCGGGTTTGGCTGCCGGCTTGGCAGCAGGCTTCTTGGCTGGCTCTTCCTCATCGGAATCGCTGTCATCGCTGGATGACTCTACCTTCTTGGCCGGAGTGGCCTTTGCAGCTGATTTGGCTGGGGCAGCCGCCTTCTTGGGTGGCTCCTCATCGGAATCGCTCTCCTCACTGGACGAATCGACTTTCTGGGCTGGAGCAGCCTTGGCTGGACTTGCCTTCACTGGAGCTGCCTTCTTGGGTGCCTCGTCCTCCGAGGAACTATCCTCGCTGGAGGAAGCAGCAAGCTTTTTGGGGGCTGCCTTAGCTGGAGCCTTTGCTGCCGGCTTTTCTTCTTCCTCGGAGTCCTCTTCGCTCGAAGAGGTGGCGGGCTTGACCACAGCTGTCTTGGCCGGGGCAAGTGCAGGCTTCTTCTTGGCTGGCTCCTCATCGGAATCGCTACCCTCACTGGAGGTTTCGGGGTTCTTGGCAGGCGCAGACTTTGCTGGTGCCTTGGCCGCTGGTTTGGCCGTTTCCTCCTCGGAGCTGCTGTCGTCGCTGCTGGAGGCCGCCTTTTTGGCTGGAGTTGTCTTGACTGGTGTCTTGGCCACGGCAGCTGGTTTCTTATCCTCTTCAGAGTCGTCGCTGTCCTCACTGGAGGAAGCAGCAGCCTTCTTGGCCGGAGCGGCCTTTACTGGCACTGCTGGCTTCTTGGGTTGCTCTTCGTCTGAGGAACTATCATCACTGCTCGAGGCCTTGACCACCTTAGCAGCTTTGCCGTTTGTCAACGCAACAGCGGCTGGCTTCTTCGCCGGCACTGGAGCCTCATCAGAGTCGTCTGAATCACTGTCACTATCAGCAGCTGCTGCCTTAATTGCTGGAATTTTTGTCGAGCTCTTGGTCTGGTAAAACTGTAAGATCTCACTCAGCTTCGGCGTGTTCTTGCCCACTGTGGCCTGTATAAACGTATAAAATTCTTGGTTAGTAAATAGCACGTGGTCGCGGTCGCATGCACGAGCCAGGAAGATTCGGATATACAAGAATGGCTGGTCCACTCTTCAGAACCATCCAGATATGTTCAACCTACTGTCTCAAACAGCAACCTGCACGCAAAAACACGAGCTGCATGCTTTTGAGTGCATTAGAAGCTGCATTAGCCGCAAAGAAAAAAATAAACTTACTGCCTTCGTCTTTTGTTGGAACACCTTGGCCAGGTTCTTGTCCTTAGATTGTATATACTCTAATACAATAGCGTCGGTTAGTTTCAATAGGTCCGCCATATTTATTTCAATTGTTTGACTTTACTTAAACTTTTAATACCAGCCACACGCCTGCTCACAAATAAAAAGAAATACACACGTGTTTTGTGCGGGCTTATCGATAAAATATACGGTCTGACCCTCAGAAATATACCGTCTCATTTTCAAAATATACCGATGAAAAAAAACCCGCTTGACCCCCCTCTATTTAAACAGGTGAACAACTTGCGGCAAACCGCGGAAAATAATACTGTTTGTGAATTCTTTTAGATCCATCCTATCCTTCTTCTTTACTTACAAAAAAGAGACCACGATATCTTTCACCTATACTGCCCTAAAATTCTACAAGTTTAATAGTTTTCGTGGAGCGTATTTAAATACCCATTGGCCGTCAATGGGTTAATCACTCTCAATTATCGAAAATCATATCACTAGATTTTAATATTCGGTTTAGTATTAATAGCTAGCTAGGACCGTCAGTGTGAACACATATTTTAGTCATTTTTTTGACAAATACTTTTGTTTTGATCTATGGGGATTTCAAACGATATCAGTCTCAAAATGTCACCAATTCAAAAACAGCACAAAAACAATTCAAACTAGCACAAAACAATATGGTCGTATCACCAACTGCATAGACTTTCTTTAATAATTCTTAATTTAATAATTTTCAGTTTCAGGAATCCCCAGACTGTATCCAATCGTTCGCAGCAATCGATAGTACTATCGATAGTTTTTCGTGCAATGCAAGACGACACTAGAAAATTCTATAAAAATAAACAATAACCGTATACAATTCTACACAAAATTCATTTCCCTCGGCCATGGCGTCTGACAATGAAGATCCACCGTTGTCACCGACTGGCCCCATCTCTGAGATACTGAAGCTGAATGACGATTGCCTGGAAGAGATTTTCGAGCGACTGCCGGATTTGCCTACTGAGATTTACTTCTCCGAAGTCTGCCAGAGGTTTCAAAACATTGCCTTGGGAAAATGGCGGATCAGCCATACCTATGACACGATGGATCTGGAAAAATGGTAAATGTATAATTGCAGCCGAAATATTTATTGATTATAATCAGAATGTGTCAATCCTTTAATAGGCGAGAACTGCTGCCCAACTTTGATGATTTATATTACTTCATCCATTTGATGCAGCCGTATATAAAGGAAATGTACGTCAGTAGCTGTCTTTGCACATTGCTCAAGGATTTGGATGAAATACACATTACGGAGCTGCCCCAAGTGACCAGCTTTTATTACGATCCCGAGGACGTGGATTGTTATCCATCGAATCGCAGCATACGCAAATTGACCCTCATTGTGCCTGGCGTGCGTAGACTTCGCCTAACCACTCCTACAGATGGGCGGTATCTCTCCCGCTTTAAGCATCTGAAAGAACTTCATCTGTATGAGGATCAGCACAAGGCCTACGAGCTGCGCCAGCAGTATCTGGATGAGGTGTGCCAGTAAGTAATGATTTGCGGCTCCTTCGCCAGCTTGCCTCCTAATTCGTCACCTGTTCCGCAGTCGGTGCGACCTCCAAGTGCTGGACATACGAACATTCGATGGAATCAGTAAGCTGCGCCTCAACAACTGCGTTAAATCTCTCCAGAGTCTCACCACCCTCAAGCTCAATCTGGCCACGATCAAGTCAGTGCTGCCCGAAATCATGAAGCTGCCGTCGCTCAAACAACTGGTAGTTCTCCTCTGCTCCGAATGGCACATTCCCGCAGAGGTCTGCCCGGACGAATACGATCCCAAAATACGAGAAGTCGAGGAGTTCTATGCGATTATGGAGCACAAGGCGAAGGAAATTACATGCGTGGCCGTAGATGGCTACTACATGCCACTGGAGCCGGGTTGGGACAGGGATTTGCCAATTTGGCCGCATAAGAAACTGCAGCGCCTGGCCATTTGCAGTTGGGACCATTCTACCGAATATCTTGAGCGCTACACCTGCATGAAAGATCTGCAATTGCTTTGCCTGCGAAATTGTACCCATTTGAACGATGATGTGCTCCTCAAATTCGTTGATCTATGCCCACGTCTGCAGCACCTGGACGTCTCTTACTGTCGAGAGGTAACACCCAGTTTTCTCTCCCGAGCCCTAAAAATTCTCAAGCAAAAAGACCCGCATAGACAACAGACGGGATACAGCAAGACCCCGCCGTTGTTTATTTACTATGTCCTCAGTGGGTTCGAGGACTTTGTCGACAAAGAGGTGATTACATTGTTCCCCTTTATTGTTCAGATTTAACTAATCTCATTGTACTATCCCTTGCAGAACCTGAAGACCTCTCCAGAATACAGGGAATACATCGTCTTTAAACCAGACTTCCCAGTCCGATCGGAGCGGGGGCTTAGCTTTGTAGATCGCGGCTATCAGTTCGAATTTATCTAATATCGGATACATACGTACATATATATTGATTAATTATTACAAAATTATGTTGCATAAATTAATGATGTTAAATTAAATTATATGAAACAGTATCGATTGGTATTTTAGAATTCTCATGTTGAGAGTTTTCGATATTTCTCTGCAACACTGTCACACTTTAGTCTACACAATGTATTATGTATTAGGAAATATTTCATTTTTTTTATTTTATTTACATTTGTATTGGTTAGTACGTTTTATTAAAAAAAGAAAATGTATTTTGGTGGTGCCGATGTATTGATATATCGTTGAAATCATCGATAGAGCGACCATCGATAAATTTACATTTTATTCACGCTTTTGCTTTTAAAACTGAATTGTGCAACAAATACGGTAAAAATTTGACTAATTGCATTCGAAGTTCAATAAAAGCATTTAAAAAAAATGAGTGACGGAAAGGAACAGAAGCCTGGCGATGGCATCCGCTCCATGCGCAGCACGGGCGTCTTCCGTTTGATCAACTTTGAACTGTACACAAAGCCGGTGGGTGTTCAGGATGCACCAGTCAACATTCAGAGCTTTCTTTAATAGGTTTTGTTTTCTTTGCAGAACATGGTCGTCATGGGCCTGGGCTTGACAGCTATAACTGGAGTCTTTGGATATATTGCCTACATGCGGTACAAGTACCAGAGTTTGGGCTACTATGTGGCCGTCAAGGAAGACGGAAAGGAGGAGTTTATCAAGAAGAAATCAAATTGGGAGTTGTAGCATTGTATCTTTGTGGAAACTTCTTTATTCGCTTGATAGCACAATTTGGTACATAAATTTCTGTTGTTTCGAGTAACTGTTTGTTTGCCAAAAGTGTTCAGAAATCACAAAAGTAGAAAAATGTTTTTAACTAGAAACTTTTTGCGACACATATTTTTCGCAAAATGAGCGTTAAACAACAGGAAAGGGAAGAACAACAAACAGTGTATGAGAAGGGAGGAGGAGAGAAGGCAACTTGTGGTGTCTGGTGGGTGTATCACACAATCAATGGTATTGTCCTATTCCTCTTGCCTCTCTCGCTCGGCGACTCCCTTTAGTCGGACAGCTTGAGCATCTTAAGTTCGTCCAAGTAAGTTGCTTCCATTTTAATTTTATTCAATTGATTCAGCTCGAGACTTTCGCCCTGGTCCTGGCGCGACTTCAGTTTCTTAATGTCTGAAAGCTTCTTGGCAACGGTGCGAATTTTGCGTTCCTTCTCGTTCGAATTCTGGCCATTGGCCTGGGGATGTGGTTGATGCTGATGATGATGGCGCTGTTGGTCGCCAGCATTCTCCTGTTGATATCTGGGCGCCTGAGGTCGTGTTCTGTGTGTGTGATGTGGCGTCTGGGATGCCTGCTGGTCCTCCCCCGTCACAGTCACCGTCTGTGTCGTTGGAACCGCAGCAGAGGCTGCTGCGGTATCCACATCGCCACCATTCACAGCTTTTACATTTACATCCCTCCGTGGGCCCTTTGGCTTGTTTTTGTTGTTCTTTTTGTTGTTGGCACCACCTGCAGGCAACAAAAGAAATGCAAACAGCAATTAGCAAATACATTGCCCGCCCTACTTACTGCCATAATATAAGTCCCTAATCCTAATTTGCATGTATTACGAAATGTTTAAGGGGGTGAAGGAGGAGGATGAATCGTTAATTCTAGTATCGTTTATACTGATAGGGTCGATAGCGTCTGTTGGACCGATTTGGCACGGTAGCGGCAGCTACCGATGTCGCTGTCGATGCATCACGACCCTCACGGCCACTCGACACTTGGCATTGACCCTGTTCGCTCCGTCGCACGATCGGATTGTCCATATCATATTGTCTGTTCCAAATCTTGCGCATTCCATTACCTGCTGATGCTGGTGCCAGTCCGGGTACGGTTGGCTGTGGCAAGTACTTCTCTGGATTCTTTCCCTCCTTCAACAAACGCAAATGGGGCGGTGTGTAGGCCTTTTTGCTCGCTTCTGGCTGACTGGATTTAATCCCCTCATGCTTGGCCTTGGTGATTTTTGGCTCACTGAAGGTCTTATCTGCATACTGCTGCCACTCGATGCCGAGCAACTCCTGGCTTTGCGGCCACATGGTCTCGTGCAGCAGGGCTCCGGAGTAGTGGTACACTTTGAAACTGCAAGTAAAATAATAATTAAAATTTACATCGGAATTGCAAGCATATTTCATGGGAAGCAACTCACCCGTTACTAATGCGGAGCCTGGGAGCGGTGGTGGCTGTGACAAACCATTCGCCATTGGGATGCCACTCGAAGACAGTGGTGTCCGCCAGCTTCAAGCTGGCCAGCTTCTCCCGTTTGGGCACATCCCATACCTCGACGGCTCCGGGCAGATTGCCAAAACCGGCGAGCACAATGATGTTTCCAAAAGGATTGAAATAGGCACAGTTACGTGGACCCTCTCCAAAGTCATAGATCACGTCGCACTTGAGATTGTAGAGAGCTGCCTTGGAGGGCATGAAGCCATATACAACCACGAATTCGGTGGCTTTGGGACTCCATTTGACACAGTGGACTGGTCCCTCCTTCGACAGCGGCACGGAGCAAGTGTCGCCCTTGGTGGCCATGAAGTGGACAGCCTGATTGCCGTAGTAGGAGGCGCCGCTCTTGTCCACCTCGGTGCTGGTTAGCAACAGCAGGCCAGTGCCTCTCTTGTTCCACAACATTTCCACGCGGTCCGCCTGGAAGAAGCTCTTGCAGGCGACCGTTTGGTTCTGGCCCAGGGCGGGATACTTGTACAGCTTGCACATGGACGGAGCACCCTTGGCGCCGGGATTGTAGAAGGCCAAATACGGCGGACAGTGGCCGGGACCAAGAGATAACATTCCTCCGCGACTGCCGCCTATTTTTCTTTGGGTATTTTCGAATCCTTTAGCCGATCCTTCGGGCAGATCATAGAACAGAGCCTCGCCGCCGACGACGAGAGCGAAGATGGTCTCGTCCGACGACCAAGATGGCTCCCAATTCGTTTGGTTCTTCTGGACAATGGCAAACACTTCGGTGCCCGTGGTGATATCGTACACCAGGAGATTGGGCGACCCCTCTGGGCGGTCCTTGGTGATGGCATAGTGCTCCCAGGTGCACAAATAATTGCCACGTGGCGAGAACTTGAGGTAGAACGCCTTGGGGCGCGGCAACGAGCACTGCACTGGCCACTCTCCGGCACCATCCTTGCACGCCTCGAGCACCTTAACGTCCCGGCCGTTGGAATATGCAAAATATCGGCCATCTGGACTGAAGCAGATCGAACGAGAACATTTCGTCTCCTCTCGCGGCAAGTTTGACTTGTGTTCATATGGCAACTTAGGTCCGGCCGATGACCACAGTTCAACCGCCACGCTAGAGCGAACTGTAAACGAAGGCACGATAGATTAGTTACCAGAGAAATACACGAGGTAGCGCTCCCCCCTCCCCACACCCGACGACAGAGAATGACTCTTGAGTTTGCACAGTCCTGCCAGGCGGCGGGGCTGGCAATGCAGCTGGTGCCCCACATTGTCTGGCATCGGGGGCAGTGTTTGGGGACTAGTTTTGTATCGAATCTGCGGGATTATATTTACTTGCAAGGGTAGGAACAACACCGTCCGCAGCTGCAGCCATTGTCTTCCAATCTCACACGCACACACACACAAGAACACGCACGGCGATGTTGTTGTTGCTATCTAGTACTCGCGCTCTGTTGCAGCCGGTGTTGGTTAACAGATGATTGGTTGTGCACTCACACGGTCGCTCTGTACTGTGTTTATCGATAGACGCCTATATACATGAATTGGCGCGATGACGGACACTTTGAACATGTATGTTACCTAACCAAACCAAATATTTAGAACCGCAACAAAACTTCAGCTCTACGTGAATTTAAAAACATTTTAATACTGACGATTTGAGATCTATGATTTCAGACGGCACATTCAAACGTATCTAGATGCCTACTATTTTCCCAAAATCCTACTTTCACCCCCCGCACCCACATTTGTATAGTTTTTTTTTCAGTGGGTAGGCCCAGGTTTTCATTTCTTTTGGCAACTATTACGCCAGTTAATTGTCAGGCTCGAATAAAAGCATTTAGAGCGGCGCCGATGCACAATTGGAACTTGTTCAGTCACTTTCGCTGAAAAATTTCATGTAGACTGACAGCCGACTGTCGTTGACACTTGGCGGTGACACTTTGCGCATGCGTGCCAGAGCCAGAGGCCCCCAGATGCCCCCCAGATGCCCCCAGATCCCCCCCCTGTCTAAGTCGTAGTCCAGTTCAGACAATGTCCGAAGTTTTATTGTTGCCCTGGCTGGTCCGTCGCAACGCTTGTTTCAATTGTTGCTATTAATTTTATTTTATTTATACCGCACAGTCCAGTACTTTTTCTGCACGCCTCGACGCGACGGCAATTGACTTCAAATGTCTCGCATTTGGCCGGCCGAAGAGAAAAGTTACAACAACTATGAAAGTTTCTGTGGGCTCTGTGCACATTCATTTTGGCTTTTTCTTCATTTTTTCGATAATAACCATCACAAATTGAAACTAATATAGCTTGACTTGATAACTTTCCCAAAAGAAAATAATGAAAAGCGGCATTTAAATCACACAGTTCGCCAGAGAAACAGATAGAAATTTGGAGAATGTGGGAATATTATGTAATATTATTAATCGGCAATCAATTACCAATAGACCCGTGTAGGCAGCTAAGCCATTTCGCGCTGCTTTCGGTTTCCATGAAGGTGAAAACCGCATTCATAATCTCCAATAGAGTTCAATGCGAGCAGAAAATTCAATAAAACACCGATACGCAATTCTAGATCGATAATCGATTAATAACCGTCTAAATTTAAATTTGGGCCTCGAAATAACCGCAATTCAAAAGAATCGCATGGAGGCTCGTCACTCGCCCATCATATAGCTACGGAACCCTAGAGTCTCAGCAGCTTTTCAACTAAATTTCATTTGTCAAAATATACAAAATAATTACAGCACAAATATGGATTTAGGGAGACATATGCTAAAAGATGAACTCTTTGATAAGGTGGGACCTCTGGAAACAATAGGAGCCTTCATCGCACTGTTGTTGCTTTTGTTAATCTTTTTCTTCTGCGTCGGCTACTGCTGCTGTTTTAGCTGTGACGGTCAGAAGTCGTATTAAAAGATGTCTGAAAAGGAAAAGAGCTCAATAAACTAACTAATGGAGAACGCATCAATTATAAAGTCAAATCAAATTGATAATTCGCCTTGTTTGTGAGGCCGGTGCTGCTCCTGTAACTCCTTCTGAGTCGATTCGCCCGGCCTGGGCAGTCGATCATTCCAGAATCCGTGAAGCATCCATCATTCCGTATAGGATAATGTCCAATATCGATACGACCATACCCCATACTTTTTTTGTGTCGACGACTTCCTTGAGTATCCCCTTAAACCGTTGAGGGGCTCTGCTCCGTTGCTGTGATCGCTTTTCAGCAATTGTCAGAACCAAGTCCAAAATCTGGCATAATGACTGTAATTCTAAGTATAATCCTGTCGGTTGCGCTCTCCATTGTATTGTTTGTGTGCCTCTGCCTCTGCCTCTGCTGCTGTTGCGTATTCATAGTTTGCATGTGCTGCTGCCACTGCGACTGCGACTGCGCTCTGCGTGGCCCAGCTCCAGTTCCGCCCCCACTGCCGCCGCTCCCGCCATCGCCCCTGCCACGAATAGAGGCAGCAGCAGCGGCAGCAGCAGCAGCACTTGGTGGTGGTACGACGGCAACAGGTTACGACAAGCCAATGCCAATGCGATGCGATGCCACCAGCTAGCGGCAGAGGCCAGGCCTGCTGCGCCGGCGCAGTCGCTGCTGCCGTTGCCGTTGCTGCTGCCGTTGCCGTTGCCGTCGCCAAGACGACACCTTAAGGAATGGTAAACGTTACCTGGTCCGTCAGTTCAAGTTGAGCGCTCGTGTTGGCCGGTTGTCAGAGACGCGTGTTACCACCAATATACCCCAGGCGGTAGCAGTAGCAGTAGCAGTAGCAGTAGCAGCAGCAAGGCTTACACCCAGAGTCTGTATTTTTTTTGGTTTCCGTTTCTTGCTGGCAGAACGATACGTTTCTGTATAGTTCGTGAAGTGTTGTGTGCAAAGCCAATCCAATAAAGTCGCAAAGAGACCGAGTCACAAGTGCCCAAAAGTACAGCCAATAACCCAACACAACACCCAACAAAACCTACAACTCACACACAGCTACAAAATGGAATACCGGTGCTTTAGTAGAAGTTCTGTCAAAGTAAGTGACCCCAATAAGCACTAAAAAATAAAAGAAAATACCAAAGACGAGGCTGAGTCTGCGGCTGGGGCTGGGACTGGGACTGGGACTGGGGCTGGGGCTGAAGCTGCAGCCCACCACCAGACCAGGAGAAGCAGAAGAAGCAGCTGCAAGATCTCTTACACTTCTCTCTTACACGTTTTTTTTTTTTTTTTGTTGTTTTTTGTATTTTGCTTGAACTTGGCATTGTTCTCTGGAGTCGTCGCCGTTGCCGTTGCCGTTGCCGTCAGTGCTGGTCGGTGGTTCCTTTTGGAAACCAGTATGGCATTAAAACTTATATAGCTGTGTGGTGTGCACCATCCCAACCCATCCCATCCCATACCATATGGGTTTCTATATATGTACTCTCGAACTGAGTGCAGTCGTCGCGGCGGTGGCGGCGGCCCAACCCACAGCCAGGCAACACCTTCGGTGGTCCACTAAGTGCCTGGAATGGCACGGCATGGGATGGGACTTGAGCTGGGTTGGGCCGAGGCCGAGGCTGAGGCTGAGGCTGAGGCTGGGTTCTCCTTAGGAATTCAGTCTCTGACTCGCTTCAGGTTCGGTTCGGGTTCGGGTTCGGCTTGATTCGCCCATTTCGACCTATTTCCTCGGCCAAGACTCGCCCAATCACTCGATGGAATTAGCACCTTTCTTTGACTTTCTTTTTGCAGTCGGTTTCGGTGTCGGTCTTCTGCTGCTTTCGGCCTTAACGAATCTTTAATGAATTTGCTTTGGCCAAATAACTTTTACTAGGCTTCTTGTCGGCCGGTCGCATACGAGTTGATGTCTGAGCATTCTCGTCTTGTCAGTCACCTCACGTTTCAGCCTGGCACTGAAATTGGCCAGAAAACCGTGTGGGCTGGAGAGCCCTGCTGATATATGGCATACTCTGGCTCGAAAGCCAGCGGAATGTTGGGAGTGGATACCCGATCCATCGCGAGAAATGGAACCGCATTTGCTGCAACAGGAATTGCTGCCCCATAGAGCCCGAAAGAATTTCCAAATCTCTTGTCTTGTTTCTCTGTGAACTTGACCCACAAAAATGCTAATCAAGGAAGCAAACGTAGAAAGCAAAAACACGGCTCCTCCTCCGCCTCCACCTCCGCTTAATCTTATTTCGTTGGGGATATCGGATCGAGTTATGTTGATTTCTTTGAGCCGATTTGATGTGGTGTGTGCCCCCGATTAATGAGTGTCTTTCAGTCTGGCCAAGACACTCTCGTATTGGCTGTCTGCTTGCCTCTGCTCTTCTGGCCCAGAGAGAATTTCATTTGGCTTGGTTCAAGCACGAGTCAGTCGGAAATTTAATCATCTTGTCCGGTAGCCCCTGCCACCACACGATGATTCAAAACGAATTCCCAGAGCGAGCCCTAACCGTTGAGCGCTGCTGCTGCCGCGGGCAAAAGTAAAATAACAAAAAAAAAAAAAAAAAATACTTTATAAAAAGTAGGCTAAATATATTCATACTTTGATTTTTTATGGGTTGTTGCTGTTGTCTTCGTTTCTGTTGCTGAGAGCCGGTCGGTCCCGGTGCTCACTCGCACAGGTAGAAAGATTCTCATTCATGCGTGTCACCTCTTGGTTGAGGCAGTGGCATGGCAGAAGAACCCAACCTTAAAGAGCCATCATAGGCAGCAGTACGACGGGTACGGCTACGGGTATTCGTATGCGTATATAACTATTTGCAAAACGGCATTATAAACTGTAAAAACAAAAGATTTCTTCTGGGTCAAATATAACCCCCCTCCCCCCCCCCCCCCCCCCAAAAAAAAACACTGAGGGACCAAAAATTGTCATAAATTTGTGTTAATTGCCTGCTTAATGTAGCGCCAAGAACTAACAGTACTTCCCGAGTCGCCTCCAGATAATAATGATGCAAATTATCCAGTGAAACTCCAAACAAAAATATATGAATACAATTGAGGGCGTAATGAGTAAAAGTGTTGGGCTAAAGGGGGGGGAGGAGAGGCCTCGGCCTCGGTCTGGGTCTGGGTCTGGGTCTGGGTCTGATTGCCATTATGAGATGCTTCGGTTCGGTTCTAGTTTTGGTCAGCGAAATTTTTAGCCCCATTTCCACGCGCCATTCCTCCTCCACATCCCACGCTCTCTGGACAATGGCCGCGTCGCCTCACGTCGCGTCGCGCATGCGAAGTGGCAAGCAGCCCAAAAATGAAAGCGCCGCTGTCATCGCATTGGGGGAGGGAATGAAACGAAGCCAGAGGCATCGAGTGGAGTCGGAGCGGAGTCGGAGTCCATGCACTTGCCTCTTGTCTCTTTCTAGCGCTGGCCCCAGGCCCCTCCAGTGCTGTTTTCTGTTGTTTTTGTTGTGGCCTGTGGTCTGGGAAAACGTGATCTGCATAGCGGACAAGAAGACCAGAAGAAAAAAAAAAAAAACCCATTGAAAGTTTTGTCGCTTCGGGGTTATCACGGCCCGAGCTTTGTTGTTTGTCGCGGAACGGAAAAAAGCAATAACGAACGGGTCTAATTCTCAAAGAACGGTGCTGAGAACCGACATTAGCACAGAGATCACAATCGATCTATAACATGTTCCGCAGGGAAGCCGATACCGATGCCGATGCCTGGGGTGTGGTGTGGTGTGGTGTGGTCCTGCTTTCAGTGGATATGTATGCCCGATTGGATTGGCCAAGCTTTTCATCAACTTTTCCTGACCAACTGGTCCACAATCAAACAAAAGGCCTTTGGGAAATTGTGTCAGTCAAGCAAAGCCAACAATTCTCTCTCAATTCGTTTCAATCACAATACATTATCACTGACATCCATTGAGAGAATGTGGAACTCGCCAGACAAGCGACGATCAGATCAGCGACCAGCAGCAGGGGCGGGGAGGGCGGCTCGGATCTAGCGAGAGGAGGTGGCAGGCAGATCGAGAGACCCGAGACCCGAGACCTGGGGCTGTAGGCTACGCTTATCAATAAAACCAGTTCCAAGACTCATTGCGTGCAACGGTCTCAGAGTCGCAGAGTCTTCTGGTGGCTATTTGTAAGCTGTCAATAATCCGTCGGTGCTTTCCCAAACAAAACCCAAACCAATTTTCACTTGGTGTAGTGGTCCAATAATATTGTAGCGTTTAATTTCATTTATTACCAAAGTCCCAATGTTTGTTTATGCGATCCGAAACATGCTCCCGGCCACGGCTTGGCTGTGTGCGTGTGTTAGAGGGAGAGAGAGACAGAGGCAGAGCCAGAGCCGACGAAGAGCGAGACTTGAGACGCCTAAGAGAGAGAGATGGAGATGTGGGTCGTTAACCTCGTTATAACGGCACCTGATACACGAACAGCGGCGCGCTGCTCTTGACAGTTTTGCTCGTCGTCGCTTTGTCTCTTTTTGCCATGGCATATGGCATGGCTGGGCTCTGATTCTTTCTAGCGGCCACACTTAGTGCAAGTCTCCGGCCGCTTGCCGCTTGGCTTTCGGCGTCCCCCCCCTGCCTCTTCGTTGAACGGTATGAATGAGTGTGTTATGTAAGCCCAACTAATGACGGGACACGGCACACACTCAAACTGTCGCCGTATCGTCAATGGTCAATGGTCAATGGGTTTTTGATTAATGAGTGATTTGCTGATTTTTCAAAGCAGCTCAAATATTATTTGCATTTATTTGTGATATTTTGTTTTTGGTACAGTCACGCCGCAATCACTTCAACGAACCAAACGAACCCCGAAGACAGGCAGGCGGCTACTTAAGAAAGTTGCCTCATTAGGAGGAGAGGGTCTCGTCGAGACCCAATCAAGATGGCAATTACCAAGTAAAAATACTCCGTACGTACTCAGACGAATGTCTTGTGACAGGTTCAAATGGCAATGGCAATGGCAATGGCTTGGTCTTGCCTTAATGTCGAATCAAGAGGGGACCGGACCAGACCAGAGCACCACGGGCATTTATTAAACGAAATTGTTGGTGGAGGGCCATCCCATCAAAACGGAAAGTCAGACGGACGGACGGACCAAATGACAATGGGCAAGAAAAGCTCGTTTAATGAGCCAACGAGTCAACTACAGCACACAGAATTTGACAAAAGGCCAAATGCAGACAGAGAGACGGAGAGACGGACACGACACGACACGACGCTCGGGCTACAGGCGGTGAGAGTGTACCGCGTGTCTCTCTCTCTCTCCCTGTCACACGATCTCCCTAACTGCCTTCCCACCGACCGCCCGACCGCCCGCCCGCCCGCTCTCTCCTTTTGGCGGCACGAAGCAAGTTCATTAATTTCTTGTAATGAATGTGAAAAGAATTAAATAATAGAATTTCGCTTTCATTTTTCATTTCCCAGCAGCGAACCAACACGCAATGACCATTAGGCCACAAACATTTCGTTTTTTTTTGTCAAATTTCTTAAACTGAAAAGAAAGTTTGGTTTGTTGGGCATCTCATCTCTTACGAAAATGTGCGAACAAACCATCCATCCCACCAGACCAGGCCAGGCCAGGCCACAAACAATACAATAACTGAAAGGAAATTAATATTAAATGTTTATATCAATTAAAAAAGCTACGAGTATTTACGGTATTTTTTGCCATCGACAATCGGACAAAGGCCCGATGGGATGGGATGGAATGGGATGGGATGGCACGTTATCCGACCTGTCCGATTATTTCTGCGCATCATGTCGTACGTGCAGCGATTTTCTCAGAGAGAAAAATGGCAAAATTTTTGTGCTGCAATTTTAATTCAATCGAAACTGGTTTTCGGCTGCTGCCTGCCTGCCTGACTGCCACTTGATCAGCAACAAAAAATCTGCACAGAGAAAGTGAAAGAAAACACAACGCGCGCGCGCGCAAATAAAATAAAAAACAAAAATACTATGCTGCAAGAAGAGGCAATAAAAAAAAGTTCAGACCATATTAGAAGTCAGCTTTACATGCGGTGCGGTTGAAAAATGTATTAACATTTCTTCTTGCTCTGCCTTCCCCCTCTCCCTCTCCCTCTATCGTGGCAGCTGTCCGATTTGAATTTCTTCTTTGTTTTTACTTTCACGTACGGACGGGGGCGATGGCTGTGGCTGTGGTTGTGGCTTCACGAGATGGTTATTTATGAGCTTAATTAATTTGTTTATGGATTTCGAGTCTAAGCGGGTCAAGTATGTGAAAATAGAAACTTTTCATCAGCTCAGGGCACCGAAAATTCCCCGTCATAGCAGTCAAGAAACTCCTATAACTGGCTTTCGGTCTGGAGTGGAGTGGAGTGGAGTGGCGTACGTTTCTACGTCCAGTTCTTAGAACTCTGAAAAAGTTCCCCCCAGAGTCAGAAGCTAGCCATGGTCAGGGTCGTGGGTTCAACGACAAAACATAAAACATGTTACAACACCTCAAGCAAAGTTGTACAACAAACACCAGAGACGCCACAACCTGGTCGGGCTGGGCTTTTGCATGACACAGCTCTTCCATTGGCATGCCCGTTATCACAGGGGTCTAACCTATTGATATCGTATGTATTTGCAGCACCTAACGGCGCTCTGCGTCATCAGTATTGCACTCACATGCGCCAATGCGGCGTTATGGCCCAGCTACAGCAGCAGCGACGATGCGCCTTCCAGCAGATGCGCCGGAGGGCGTGGACTGAAATACCTATCCGGTGATGCGCTGACGGATTCGCCAGACTGTTTGGGCCCCAACAATGCGCCATATCCCAGGTGAGTGAGTCACGTCACTTAACGGTGCTCAGAGTGGCCGATCATAGCATTCGGAAAACTTTCTTTTCTAACGCCTCTTGCCTCTTCTGCCTCGACTATTCCCCATTACCATTTGCATTTGCATTTGCAGTGCGGCCGTTGCGCGCACATTCTCCAACTGGAACGGAAATTCGCGACGTGGACGCCAGAGCAAATTGCCGACCACTCTGGATCCCGCTGTGACCACGAGTGCACTTTTGAGGGCCTACGATGAGGTAAACAATGAGGCTATCGGAAGCAATCGTTATGGTAAGTCGGTCAGGCTAATGACGGTACGGTGCGGCCGCAATTGATTGACCGCACAATTGATTGATTGACCCAGTGATTGTCTGACTGTCTGTCCGTCTGTTTGTCGGTTTGTCTTTCCTTTTACGCAGGTCGTTCCCTGAAGAATGCCTCGCCGGCGCATCAGTGCAAGAGCGATACACCGGCGCGTCTGTGCAAGACGCGCTACAACACCACGGCACCCATGTATGGCGTTAGTTTGACCTCTGGCCAGCCGGTCACCATAGTTCAGAAGTTCCCCGATCTCCTGCAGCAAGTCGTCTTCGAAGTGTGCGAGTAAGTAGCTCCATCCGGCCGATCAGGATCACCGATATCTAGCCCTGGCTTTCGTCCGCAACAGGTCCTCTGAATGTGATGTGGTTCGCGGCGAGTGTACGCAAACCTATGTGCCCTACCTGTTCCTGGTCATCCCCCTGGGTCCCGTGACGCTAACCGGCCAGGACTATGTGCTCGTGGAGAGCGGATGCGTCTGCAAGCCGAAGTACTCGACGGGCGCCGCCCAGGAGCCCAACATGATACCGTAGGCGTTGGAGCGTACTACCACCAGTACTACGCCCACCCACTAGGAACACAAACAGCAACCAAAAGAACTGAGCGAGTTTTGGTCGAGGGTCGAAGCTGAGCAGCGGCTGGCTGCCTGGCTAAATTAATATGTACTTAAACGAGGAATTATTTTTTGTAGCGAAATCAATTTTGCAATGTTATTTAATTTTTTTTTTCTAATCTCCTATTTCTTCTCAACACTCTCAGCTGTATAAAATTGAAATGCAATTTTGCTCGAAAAATAATCAAATGCTAATCTTAAGTTTAAATTTAAACAAAATTAAATTAATGCATTCATGCGTTTATAGTTATAATTATTAGAGCCCCTAAATAAAAGCATTCCTTTCGAAATGTTAATATGGATATTTTTGTGGGTAATATTAACTATATTCTCTGTTTGCCGCCCACGATAGATTGTTGAGGCAGCATTTTTAATGAACAAATAATTGTATACGATAAATAAAACTATTTTCAATAAGATTTGATTGCATTATTTTCAAAAACTCTTTAAACAAGACTAGTTACATGATTTTTAAATTTGAATTTTCGATGACGCCATACCAAATGCAACCCTGTTTCAAATGATATCGTCGGTTTTCCGGCTGTTAGATTTAAAAAAATATTCTTTCTATTTTTGTAGCAACAGGGGCAGGGAGTGAAAATGGATAATAAACTCAGGCACTCCCGATCATCAAATAAAATGTATACGAAAAACAGATAACATAGGACTATGTTAGTTATCTCAATGACTCTGTGCGTTTGAATAAACGACAATTGCAACGTATAAATTAGACCCGCAAATAAAGTACCTACATTCAAGACTCGCTTCGGGGCCAAAGTTTGGTAAACAAATGGCGCGCCTGACCGTCGGAATGCCTTCTTTGCCTCTTGTTTCCTCAAATGTGGCTTGGCAACAACAATCCCAATGTTACGCTCGCTGACCACTCTTGAGTCCAAGCTGCCGTTTATCGCACACAAACATCGATAGTGCCATTCGCGATTAATTGATATGTATATAGCATCCGTGGTTTGTTCTGCCTCTGCCACCACTGGTGCAGACCGTTTTCACGCATATATTTTTTTTTTCGCGAAGAAAAAATACAAGCCGAATACAATTAAAAACGGATTGTATGTAATTGTGAGTGGTGTTATTTGCGAAGAACGAAGAGCACAAGTTTTTCGCAGCTTTGGTTTTCCATCGAAAGCATAAAGCAATTAAGCGCAACGCATCCCCCGGCCATCCTTAAACTTACTCACACACTAGGGCGCACACACCGAAAAGACGCTGCATGTGTGTGTGTGTATAGACAACTGTCTTGCGTGGTGCCGGGTTACATATTTTTATTGAATTTTTCTCGTGGGCCTGCCAAAACAAATGTGCATGCAGTAGAAGGGCCACAAATTGGCGGCAGTTTAAAGAAAACCCCGAAAACAGACAGCAAAATCACAGTCTAGCGATGATGTTCACGGTAAGTGCGATGGTGTAAGATGTGTGTGTGTGTGTGTGATGCCAAAGACTATATTGTGTGTAGTCTTCGGTGTGATGCGATGCTCTGAACGCAATCGATAAGAGACATATTTTTCGAACGCCCTTTCTTTACCTCATTTAGGGCACCAACCAGCAGCAGGACACTCGGTTCAGCGACAAGGAAAAGAAACTAATGAAACAAATGAAGTTCGGCGACTGTCTGAGCAAGCGCGTGGACATGTCCAAGGTGAAGCTGGACGTGCTACGGCCGTGGATCAGCAAGAAAATCACCGACATACTCAACATCGAAGACGATGTTGTGGTGGAGTTTGTATATAACCAGCTGGAGGAGGAGAAGTATCCATGTCCCAAGAAAATGCAAATAAATATGACCGGGTTCCTCAATGGCAAAAATGCCCGCCAGTTTATGGGCGAGCTCTGGGCTCTGCTGCTCTCGGCCCAGGACAGTGACTCCGGCATCCCGGCTGAGTTCATACAGCAAAAGAAGGACGAGATACTCAAGCGCGAGGAGGAGCTACAGCAACGCCAGCGCGACAGATCCCGCTCACGTTCTCGCTCCTCGCGCGGGAATTCCCGGCGTGACCGTCAACGTGATCGATCTCCAAATGGCGGCAAATCCAAGTCCCGCTCCCGTTCGCGCTCGCGATCGGCCAAGCCAGCCAACAATGGCTCGGTGCCAAGTGCCGCCCGTGAGGCGGCCGCCAATGCAGCGGCTCGAATTCGCAAACGCGGCGGCTCACCCTCGGCCACCCGTCCTGCCTCCAGGGAGCGGCGTCCCAGCCGCCGCCCACGGTCCCGCTCTCGCCAGAAGACGCGCTCTGGCTCGCCAGCCCCTGGCAAGAAGGCATCCTCCTCGGACCCACCCCCAGCTAAGGCTCTCAATGGACGTCACTCAGGGGACAAGTCCCCCGTACAGCCCAAGGGAAAAAAGTCGTCGCGCTCACGCTCCAGGTCACGTTCCCCCCGTAGTCGCTCTAGGTCCAGCGGCAAGCGCTCACGCTCTCGCAGCTCCTCGCCACGCAGCCGACGTCGTGGCCGCTCCAGCAGCATTTCTCTGTCCCCCGAGCGCAATCAGGATCAGTTCGAGCATCGTCGCAACAAGAACAGTGTCCAAAACAAACGTCAATATCGCAATAATCGCGGAGACTCGGCCAGCTCCATGGAGCGGGGTAATGATCGCGGACGTCAGTTTGGTGGAGGAGGAGGCGGCGGCCGTCGCGGAAGGCGCTTCTCACCGCGCGGCGGTAACCGCAGTCCCATGCGTCAGGACAATGGTGGAGGCGGAGGCGTTGGCGGCGGCGGAGGGCGTTTCCAGCGTTCCAACTCGAGACGTCGCTCACGTTCCCGTCGACTTTCCCGTTCTCCCATGCGATACTCTCGGTCCCCCAGGCGGTAAGTGTCAAATCAGTCTGAGATTCAGTTTTCATTCATCTACTCGCTCGCTTGAAATTTAATTGAAAATGGTTTCCATTACTTATTCGTTCAATACAAGCAGATTTAATAACCGCCGTCGGTCGCCCATGATGCACTATCGGGGTGGAGGAGGTCGTGGCGGTGGACGCGGTGGCGGCGGCGGCGCCGGTGGTGGTCATCGCCAGATGTGGCAGCATCGCGGTGGTTCACCAAACATGCGTGGCGGCGGTCGAATCCACTGGCAGGCGAGATACAGTCCTGGCGGCGGCGGTGGGGGACGAGGTGGCGGTGGAATGGGGCGGTTTGATCGTCGCCAATCCCCGCACCAGAATCGCTATACGCGTGATCATCGCCCATCGGACTCACAGGGAGGACAGCCCTTCCGGAAATTTTCACCCCATTCCGGGCCAGGGCGTCGCTTTTCCTCACCGCAGCGTCGCTCCTCACGCGATCGCCGCCCCAATTCTCGGGAACGTCGTGGCTCGCCTGGTGGCCATGTCAATCGCTGGGACAATCCGCCGCCGGCCAGGAATCGACGATCCACGTCGGAGAGCTCAGCTGAGCCGGCCGGACGCCAGCAACGACATCGCAGTGCCAGTCCCGCTGAGAGGCGGGGCCGCAGTCACAGCCGCAGCCACGAGAGAAGTCGCAGTCATGTGAGAAGCCGCAGCCGCTCCAGTCCGCGACCCAGCCGCAAGCGAGACAGTCCTGTTGCTGGTAAGTCCCCGTTAAAGTTTGCTCCCTTTGGGAAGGGAATAGTACATAAACATGGCCTCTCCACAGAGCGTTCTTCGGTGGAGTTCAGCGGCCCGGCCGTCAATACTATCGATCTCTGTCGCGAGGAGCAGCAGCAGCAGCACCAGCAGCGTAAATCCAATACAGAAACGCTCAAGGTTATCGAGCAGCCAACAGCCGCAGTACGACGCAGCAGTTATGCCAGCCTGTCCCGCACTCCATCACCGTTCCTTAAACCGCACGAGCGTTCGGCGGCCGCTGCATCAGCCGCTACCGCCGCCGTCTCCGTATCCAAGGCTGTTCCAAAGAAATCCCGCAAGAGTCAAACCAGCAGCTCCGACAGCAGCGCCGACAGTGATGACACTGATGATCAGCCGGCGCGCCGCAAGGCCCAGCAAAAGAAGCTGCCAGCTCCCGTGGAGTCGGCTAAGTCAAAGTCGAAGTCTAAGTCGCAACGCAGCTCGGAGAGCTCCAGCAGCAGCGACCAGAGCGACGATGACAACTCGAGCATCGAAGATCATTTGAAAAAGAAGAAGCAACAAAAGCAGCTGCAGCTTCAGCAGCAGCAGCAGTTGCAGCAGCAACAGCAACAAAAAGTGGCGGCCGTGAAGCCGGACAAACGGCGCTCAGAGAAGAAACTCAAGCGCCCTACATCTAGTGCAGAGGAGTCTACGGGCGTTGAAGTAGAGGCAAGACCAGGAAGCAGTCGCAAGCGTAGTCATAAGAAACCACGACGAGATGAGGGCGGAGATGTCAGCGACTCCGAGGAGGAGAATGTGCCCAAAAAGAAGCGCAAGAAGTCCAAGAAGGCGGCGGACACATCCGACAGCGACTCCGAGGACTCGTCAAAGAAGAAAAAGCATAAGAAACACAAAAAACACAGCAAGAAAAGCAAAAAACACAAGAAGCATAAGAGGAAGAGCAGCAGCGGAAAGGCCCGCCCAGACTCCAGCTCCCAAGCAAGCACCGACGAGGAGGAGCAGTCGGGATTGGCGCCAAAGCGCAACGGAAAACTTCCGCTCCTGATCGCTGGCGGAACCGGCCCGGGGGGCATTAACGAAGATCTGGAGAAACAATTGCGGGAGCGCGCATTAAAATCCATGAAGAAGTTGGACTGAACCACACACAGACTATACGAAAATAATTGCATTGCCCATGCCCAGACACACAGACACCCCCTGGATGCACTGCACCCAATCGCCCGCTCACACACATGCACGCACTCAGTTGAAGAACTCCTTAGCCCTCAAAGAACAGACAGACGAACGAAGCCATTAAAATTATTAAAAACTACATTTACATACACACCAACTAAACAACATTCATTGATCGTATACATTGTATTTCTGAAAATGTATTTCATACCTTTAAGTTCATTGCCTAAACACAGGATAGCTACTATAAAACCACGCAAACATTAAGCAAATGAATACAATTTGTATTATGTACAAACAAAAAAAAAAAAAAACAAACAAACAAAAAAATAAGAAAATAATAATAACCCATACACGATATGTAGCCCCCAAGTGGTTTTATAAAAGAAAGAAAAGATCTATTCGGCAATTTGTAATGTTGCCTCCAGTTTAATTTATAAGTAGGTTTTACAAAATGTAATTATTAATGCCTAAAACAAGAAGAGTGTGTATGAGAGAGCATTAACTATTGAGAAATAAACACAATTGTAAAATTAGTGCCAGTTTTGCTAAAATTTCGAATAACATCTGAAGTATTTTAATAACATTCGAACGAAGCAGCCCTGTGTTCGACACAAAATACCGAAATAAAAAGAATCAGTATTATTTTATATATATTTTAGTTTTTCCAGCAGTTTTGCTCTGGTTACACTATCCAAAAATACTATCGACATACTTAGCCCACAAGAATACCGATATTTTTCTAAAGCTACCCGGTGCATCGATAAGAAGAAGCAAAAGTCGCTGGTTTTTGTGATATACAACACATGTAAACAACAAAAAAATAGCCTCGATTTTTCTGGACTGTTAAAAGTACTCCGCTGATGATAAATGATGACAAATGTATCCATATTCATAGTTTCGAGTCTCCAAAGACTTCACATCGCTGACTGTTCCTTTTCATCAATCTATTAAATTAGCATTCATATCCTTGTCACCGATTCAATTTCAAACAATTTCTAGTTGTCGCGCAGCAGTCGATATTATCGGTAGCCGTTTGATGGGATATTTGCTCTCTGTTGTTGGGACTTGCTCTCTTTTTCCCTCTCTACGTCGATGGTATATTTTTCATCGGTAGATTTACGGTATATTTCAGCATATTTTTGAGGGTCAGACCGTACATTGTATCGATAAGTCCGCGGTCACACTGTCGCCTACTCTTCCTTTTCCTGTTGTATTGCAAGACGGACGGTACGTGTTAAAATAATTCGCTTATAATTCGGCCATCACTGTTTATTATTGTGGAATGACAAATAAAATGGGCAGCCAATGGGCCACCCCAATTAACAGTGATGTTATGCTGACATAAAAGCCTAGTGAATCGGTTGTATTAAAGCGGCTTCTAGCGGCTCAACTTACAAGTCGACATTCAAACTATATTTATTTACACATAGCTCAAAGTTTTTTTTACATTTTTTTTTTAGTTACCGCCCGCACAATATATTGAAACGTAAAGATGGTAAGCATCGCCGGGTGCTGATTTGCAAGTTAAACGAATGCAATGAGCGAAATTTTGTTTATGCTGCCCATCGCAGTGTCCCATGGAATTGAGTGTTAGTGTATTAACTTATGGGAATTGTTTTGCAGGCACGTGGCCCTAAGAAGCATTTGAAGCGTTTAGCCGCACCCAAGGCATGGATGTTGGACAAACTTGGGGGAGCTTTCGCCCCACGTCCGTCGACCGGCCCACACAAGCTGCGCGAGTCGCTGCCCCTCCTGATCTTCTTGAGAAATCGTCTCAAGTACGCCCTGAACGGTGCTGAGGTGACCAAGATTGTCATGCAGCGTCTGGTCAAGGTTGACGGAAAGGTTCGCACCGATCCCACCTACCCAGCTGGCTTCATGGGTAAGTTCTGCCCGGAGATTGCCACAAACTGATTTGTATGCTAAAATATTCTTCTACACTTTTATAGATGTCATCACTCTCGAGAAGACCGGTGAGTTCTTCCGTCTGGTCTACGACGTGAAGGGACGTTTCACCATTCACCGCATCTCCGCTGAGGAGGCCAAGGTGTGTTGAAAAACTTGTGAAAAGATGTCTGGCTTTATCGAAGACCGATCTATGTCATTTGCAATACGTTCATTGGTTCAAAATGAAGCCCAAAGCAATTTTTGTTACGACGGTCACTGATCTGTGCATTCCGCAGCCATTTCAGTAACTTTTACGTGCAATTACATTCAAATTGAAATCCATCTATGTGTGAAAGTAACTAAATGTACCTTCCAATGTTCTTTTGCAGTACAAGCTGTGCAAGGTCAAGAAGAACCAGTTGGGAGCCAAGGGTGTTCCATTCCTGGTCACACACGACGGTCGCACCATCCGCTACCCCGATCCTCTCATCCATGCCAACGACACCGTGCAGGTTGACATTGCCACCGGCAAGATCACCGACTACATCAAGTTCGATTCCGGTAAGCACCCTTTGATGGAGCAGAAATCCTCCCTGGCTGGTTCGAAGACCACAAAGCGCTAAAATTCCAAGTTGCGTGGTTCAAATACTAAGCCAAAAGCAATTTTTGTCACGACGGTCTCTGATCTGAGCATTCCACAGCCGTTTCAGTAACTTTACGTGCAATTACAACTCAACTCGCGTATTACGTATTTCGTTGAAAACTAATCGAGGTATTTTCAATTCCATCCATAGGCAATCTGTGCATGATCACCGGAGGCAGGAATTTGGGACGTGTCGGCACCGTTGTCAACCGTGAGCGTCATCCTGGATCCTTCGATATTGTGCACATCAAGGACTCTCAGGGTCATGTGTTTGCCACCCGTTTGACCAACGTGTTCATCATTGGCAAGGGCAGCAAGCCCTACATCTCCCTGCCAAAGGGCAAGGGTGTCAAGCTGAGCATTTCGGAGGAGCGCGACAAGCGTCTGGCCGCCAAGACCCACTAAAAAAATAAGAGCGAATGCTGGATAGGGGACAGGAGTAAAAAGGACTTTTACCTTGTTGCAGAGCTCTGTACGTTAAGCTACGGAATTAAAAACCAAGAACGTAAAGCATGTGTTTTTTTTTGTTTAATGCTCGCGGAGCCAGGGCTGTCACTCCCTCCCCAATCACCTCAAAGAATCGCTTCCATGATCATATAAAACCCATCAATTTCCTTCTGTGCGAAAGTTGGCGCCCAATTTTATAGCTTTTTTGCCGCCAGCATCGATGAGCCGCCAAAAGCTTTGGGCACACTGCAAGTGGGTGAATTTATTCATTTGGTTCATTTCTGGTTCATGAACTGCTTTTGTTTAAAACCTATTTTATAAACAATCCAATAAAAGGGAGTCCTTCAAATGAGCCAATCTTGTAGAAAATGGATTGATTTGTATGCTAAAATTATATATTCAGTGCTGAGGGTTATATTTAGCTAGTAATATGCAACCGAATAACAAAATCAAGAAATACGATAGAAATCGATTAGCCCATTGTCGACCAGTGGGTATTTAAATACAGTTCAGGTGAAAGATTTTGTTTTTTCACACTAAAGAGGAAGGATAAGATGCATGTTGAAGTGGCTCCTACGTGTAGCGAATCGAGGACTCGGGTCTGATTGGGCCTGGGCAGTAACCTCTACAGGTCCAAAACGGAGGCCCGCCTGGATGGCAGCAATCGGCACGTGCACGGGGGTGGAGCACCCCCAATGTGCTCAGCTCATGTGCGCATGTATGAGTAAGAAAAAAGGAAGTAAGAAAAAAGAGGAAAAGGAACGTAAAAGTCCTTTTTGTGGATTTTTGAATTTTTCTATCGAGCTACACATCAGCTGGGAAATAAGCTCTATCGATTTCAGTTATCGAGCTAAAAATCAGCTGAGAAATAAGTTTTATCGATTTCAGTATTTGTACATTGTACACACTGCTTTGTACATTGACAATTGGGGAGGCAGAAAAGAAGAAAAGAAAACTCGCTTCGAAGTAAATCCTAGGTAACTAAATCTTGCTGCCAGGCGGAAACCATAGGAAAGCTGTTGCTATTCTCCGTCTGCTTACTAACCCACACGCGTGTGGCTGTGTGTGTGCGTGCGAGTGGCCCCACCGATACACACACTCACACAGACCAATGCCTACACATCATATGTTGATAAGTTCGTGTGTGGAAAGAACAACAAAAGCAACGAGCACTTCTTCATATGTGAATCATTTGTAGGGATTTGTCTGTTTGTCCGTTTGTTTGTTTGTGTAATGCACAGCGAGGCAACGTGAACCGTCTGCGGGTTTATTTGTCGCCCCATTTTCAACTATCTAATACTCCACATAGCCGCACAGTCGCGTCATCCAGCCAGCCCAGCGAACACAGAACACAGAACAGCAGCAAAAGCAGCAACAGAAGCAGCAGCAGCAGCAGCAGCAGAGCAGTCATGTCCCAGGCCTTGAACAATCCAACGGGTGGTGGTGCCCCGCACCGCGATTACGGGGCAACGGCAGAGAGTATCACGCCCGAAGTGAGCTTCGCCGCTCCAGGCGGCTCCTCTGGCTTCAGTCCCACAGAGTTCATGTCCCTCAGCGAGGACATTGGGCACAACATAACGGCCGTGCTCAGCAGCACCAAGCAGCTGGAGAAGCAACTGAAGCTGATTGGCACGCCCAAAGATCTGCCGACGCTGCGGGACAAAGTGCACAGCATCAATACAAAGACGAACGCCAAGATTCAGACCATCACCGTGGACCTGCAACGCCTGCAGGGCGTCGTCAGGCACGGCGATCGCCAGCAGAAGCTCCAGCTGGAGAAGCTGACGCGCGAGTTCCATAGCGTGGTCGAGAAGTACTCCAACTTGCAGAGGCGGATCTCATCCGCAATGCGACAGAGCTACCAACAGGCCCTGGGCTCCGAGCACGAGGCGGAGGTATCTGCCCGAGCCGAGCTACTCCAGCAGCAGCGCCAGGAGCAGGCTGGTCTGCAGCAGGAGCACGACATGCTGGTCGAGCGGCATCGTCAAGTGGAGCAGATCGAGTCTGATATCATCGACGTCAACCAGATATTCACCAAGCTGAGTGGACTCGTGCACGAGCAGGGCGAGCAAATGGGTGAGTGGCCAACACAGAGTGCAAAGCCTTGATTCTAACTGATGCAATTCTAACAATTTTCATTGACTGGCTAGATTTCATTGAGAACAGTATTGAGCAGACCGCCACCAATGTGGAGGACGGACATTCGGAGCTGGCAAAGGCGGCTAGAAGTCGTCAGAGCTATCGTCGCAAGATTCTGATCCTTTTAGTGATTGCTGTGATAATAGGTTTAATTGTAACTGGCATTATTGTTGCCAAATTGAGCAGTTAATTGTTTTATTTATACACATATACAAGCCCAAAACATACACACACTCACACACACACACACACACACGCATACATATATGAGTATAAATAATGATTTTTGTAAAACAATTTTTATAAAAAAAAAGAAAATTATGAACGTTAAAAACTCTGTTTAATCACCAAGTGAGCAAAGACAACAACAAAAGTAAGAAAATCGAAGAGAACTAAACGGAAATACAATATTTATAAATATATATATACATATACATATACACACACTCACACTCACACAAACATACAAGGATAATGAATCCCATTTAACTGGCATATAAACAAATTATTCAGCGCTTTTAAATGTTACTCATTTCTTGTTAAAAAACGATTATTGCGAACAACTTAAGTTTGGCATTGAATGTAACCCCCCTTGTATTTAGTTTATTAGTTTAAAGCAAACAAAATATATGTTAAATAATTCAAGTTATAATTAAGCGAGCCTGCAATCGAAAATAAACAAAAAACTACGGCCCAAAATACGAATATCTGAAATGTTTCTGCAAATTCAATTAGAGGCGGCTCAAAGTTTGGAAACTATTTCTGAGATTTTTAAATGTGCGCGCCCATTTGCTACAAACAGCTGTTCGGGCAGTGAGCCAAGTTGGCAGCCCGCAAAAGTTATCGATTTCTCAGCGAACGGCCACACTAACAACCAACCAAAACAACGTGCTGCGAATTATTTTCGTTTTATAAATACAATATATAAAAAAACAACACATTTAAAGATGCCACAGGGGAAATTCAAGAAAGCCAAAATGCCAGCGGCGATGGCAAAGAAGAAGCAAAAGCAAGCCGCATTCACACGACGATCCAGTGAGTAGCAACAAGTGGCCTGCTGCCCAGTGCATTGTGCATTAATTGTTTCGCTTACAGATGCACCCATCCAGGCGAAGAAGGGCAAGTTCAATGAGACACAGAAAATCAAGGCAGTCATTTCCAAGTCGGTCAACAAGAGCGTGGAGAGTGAGCTGCGATCCCGGGCCCACGAAGGTTACATTCAACTGAGCAAGGCCCAGGAGGCTGTGGCCAAGCATCACGCCTCGCAGGCGGCAGCGGCAGCGGCAGCAGCAACCAGCACAAGCGCCAGCACAAGCAAACCTGTAGCATAGTTTAGTTGATAGTTTAAAAATAGTTGTATATAACTCAATTAAAGCCATACATATGTATGCCAATGACTGTACAGAAACTTATGAGTGTGTCGCTAGGGCTGTCAAAGGCCAACTGGCGGCCGAGTCGAGATGATGTCTCAAGGCCTTGGGCTGAAAAAAAAGCGATTGAGAACTTTGACGTTTTCCTAATTACGCTCAGACCTTGCAGTGGGCCATTGAAATAAGTTTCGCATTCAGTTTCCCTACTTATCACAATCAGTTTGTTTAATTATAAAAATAGTTGGCGAACAAAGTTTGTTCCGCTGACATTTATTGGACGATCTGTCCCTGCCGCGTGTTCCTCGACAAACCCACGACAGCTATTCATGAGAAACTTTTTATTTTTGGCATTGGCAGCAAGCTTTGAGGAAACGAAACGAAAAGGAAAAAGTGCAACTAACAATTTCTATTTAATTTTCGCGTTTCGTTTCGTTTCGTTTCGTTTGCTATGCAAATTCTGTGCGCTTTTGATGTGCTTTTAATTAGCCAGCATCCCGCACTCACACTCACACATACCACACTCAAACGCAGGAAAATCCATTGCCAATTGCTTGTTGTTTTTCCTTTCTATGCACTTTGATTCCGCGCTTTTCAATCGCATGCAAATGAGCCGCCACGTACCCTCTCTCCGGAACGGCACAGCACCCTTGCTCATCTCTCGGCAAAAACAGGTGACAGAAGCCCCACCCCACCCCCACCAAACCGACGGGCTCTGCCCTGATGCTCTTTTGTCGTTTTTTGAACGTTTTGCGTTTTTAGTTTGGCTGCGAAAAATTCAAGTGTCCTCTCCCTGCTTGTTCAGCAATGCATGCAAATGCATTTTTGCACTCACTGTGGGGGAGTCCGAGGGGACTGGGCGTGGCCCTTTTGATATGCAATTTTAGTGCGAGTGTTGAAAAGGAGCATTTGATAGCAGGCATTTGGAATATTGTGCACACCTAGCCCCAACTGGCAGGCACTCTTCTTCAATTACGTGGGAGTGTCCATTGGTTCAGATTTGCATTCATCGGGGATGCATCAAAATCCATTTGACCCATGCCCGGGATACGTATCAGGTGGGTAGGGTATCGAAGGGTCTGCAACCGCTTGGCCATGCTTTTAACGTAACGTCTCACTTGATCAACTGTCATAACGTAAGCGCTTTCGAAATGGCAAACAAATTGCGGGGAATAGCAGCAGCACTTGGCAAATTGTGCAATCGAAAAGGCTCTTAAAAACTCACTTCAACCTTAAACCCTGGCTGGAATCTGCATGGCCCACTACAAAGAAATTGTTTTTTTTTTTTTTTGTTGTTGGTCTGGTTTTCATTTTATGGTTTATTTAATGGAGCATTGCATTTTGACCGCATTTGCCTGGAATTGATTGATTTGCCATTGCAGCGGACCGATCCGTCTCTCTCCCTCCCTCCGTCCGGCTACCCACAGGGCTTAACTCAGTCCATTTAATTAAAATATTTTCAACAAAGGGAACGGACACCTTTCACGCACTTTCGCACTCACAAAGGATAAAGCAATGTCCAAAGCGGAAATCACACGACCCGACCCAACATCCCTTTACATTTTTCCATCATTTAAATGATGTACCCGTACAGAGAGCCACACACAGCCACACACAGCCACACACAGCCACACACAGCCACACACGGCCACACAGCCAGATATATGTGTGTGTGTGTGTATTTGCTGGGATGCCTTCAGCTGGTCGGTCGTGGCACTATTTGAATATCGACGTGTGTCCCAGTGTCGGACATTCCAGATAGTAGTATGTAGTAGCTGTCCGCTCTCCTTTCTCCCCTCTCCTCTTTCCTCTCTACCGTGTACGATGCGGTGCCACTGGCTACCTGCAGTCGCCCCATCCTGGCCCTGGCCAGGCCCTGGCCAACATCCCGTTCGGTCGGCATGGTCAGCCGCCGTCCTCATTGTGTGCGAGGCGCGCATGTAAATTTGTCCAACTGCAAAGGCAAACACTTGAAAAGCGAACGACGACTACAAACGGGACAGAGGCCGGCCGGCCGGCCGGCCGACTGTTTGCGGCCACCTGCGGCATTTCACTCCATTCGAATCCATTTTCATTATTGTTTTGCCGTATTTTTTTGCATACAATCGAATGCTTTGGTTCCTGGTTCCTGGTTCATGGTTCAGTCGGAGGCCCATGTCCTGTCTCGGTGTGAATTTTGATTTATATGATGAATGACAATGAGCTAGGATTTAGACGGCAACGGAATGTATTCGGGTATTCAGTTATCCGCTGTTTGGTTTTTTTTCTTTCTTTTCAAATGGGAAATGTGAAAATATTCAAAGGATAAATAGCGAGAACTGTACACGGTACACGATTCGCTCTGGGAAAGGTTTTCATTCAATATCCCCCACATACCTGTTCTTTCCTCAAGACCGATCTATACATTAAATTATACATTTCTACCGGGGGGGAAAGATTCACCTGTCCACACGGATTTCTAATTTTTAATACATAAATTAATGCTTAAAACCGACCAAAAAAAAAGAAAACCAGGGGGGAAACACAAAGCAATCCACAACATTAAAAAGATAAAGACCTGCCTTGAGAGATTCCACCTGCAGTTCGAAGTGCCCAGTCCCCCCAGTCCCAGTCGCAGTCGCAGTCCCGAGATCAACAACATATAATAATCCCATCAACATTTTTGGATACGCTTTGCAAATGAATTGTAGAGCGGTCCGCAGTCCAAAGTCCGCTGTCCGCAGTCCACAGTCGGCAGTCCACAGTCGGCAGTCCACAGTCCGCGGTCGGCAGTCCCCAGTCGCAGCCCCGAACCCGAAGCCGAACCTGAACGCGAACCCGAACCGGACTTAGCGCTCTGGCTCAAAGCGTGGATAATAATAATGTGGAACCGAAAATGAGCTCTCGGATCGCTGACGACTGACGACTGGCGACTGGCGACTGGTCAGGCGATGGAAGGTTCTGCATTTGCACCTGCAGCACCGGCAACAGTCGCCGCTGAAACTTTGATGAGCCTTGCGTGGCTTATAATTAAATTGGACTCGTAGATACAATTTGATATCCTCCTTGATATCCGCGTTGTGCTCCATAAAACATACATGCATGTATTTGAATGTCTCAAGATTACATAAATGCTCTTCGCCATTAAATGACTTACATTTACATTTACATTTAGATGAGCGCAGGGTTGAGAACGGCAATGTGAGAACCATTGTGAGAACTTCTGTGTAAAGATAAAAGAAGTTTCCACGTAATATACCATAACGAATGAATTATCTGAAATGTCTTTTAGCCGAAAAATACCTGTAGTGGTAGGACGTGTAGGGCTCACCAAAATATCTATTCGCTATCCGAACCGGACATTATTTGCCAAACTAAAATATTAAAGCACTGGGAAAAGTATTTCATTTCCGTCTGCCTGCAAATAAAATGAAAAAGAGCGAATCCGTATATACTCTGGTGGTTCCACAAAAAAGAATAACAAAGAGCGAGCGAGAGGGAAAGAGAGGGAAGAGATGAGAAGAGCGACAAAAAAATCTGTTGTTAAAAGAGGGGCGCACACACAGCGGATGTAAATGTGTCCAGCTGCATGCCAAAAACTGCAATTGTCATCAATACAAGCAGCGGGGGTATCGGCACGAAGGACCAGGGACGAACGACCAGGGACGAAGGACGAAGGCACTACAAAGCCAATTCATAAAACAAAAGCAGAGCGAGCGAAAAGTGAATTTCCATAACGGATGTAAATAAACCACATGAGATCGATTACCTCCCCAGCGTGCGGGTGCGGGAGCGGGCGCGGGCGCGGGCGGTGGTGCTGGTGCGGAAGAGTCCTGCTGTCAGGATAACAGATGCAGGAATACACACCGGCCGGGCATCGGTGGAGGCGGTGGCGGTGGCACAGGTACACAGCACACAGCACACACAATAATAAAGCATCCATAATATCAGTTAACTCAGTCGGCACGAGAAAGACAGAGAGAGGGAGAGATAGAGAGGGAGAGCGAGGCAGCAAAAAAAAGACGCATAAAGCTTGAAAAAAGCAAAACTGAAACATCTGTCCCCCCGTTTCGAAGGAGTAAACCGAAATCCGCCTGGCTTAAAATTTATTTAAACCCGTCCGAAGAAGCAATGAAGACAGATACAGATACAGATAGGTGGAAGAGCAGCCGCCGGGCCCTGAATGTCAGAAACAAAAGCTCATTAAGGTATAGCACCTGGACCTCAAGCTGGACCAGGACCGAAGTGCAATGCGCCTGCGCCTGCGCCTGGGCCTGGGCCCTCGAGGGAGTCGAGGAGTCTGGATCGTTCCATAAATGTGTCGATATTATTACGGTAAACAGTCTGATGCATTTTAAATTCAATTTAAAACTCATCTTGCACTCTCTAATTGGGCTCTTTGCGAAAGCGGACCCGCTGGACTCCGTCCGTCCATAATGAGGCTTGTCATCAACTAAAGTGATTCTCGGTGCGGCGGCGGCGGGGGGGGCTTATTGAAAATCCATCAATAAGTTGTAGCCTTGCTTATTACAGGGTATACCCCAGTTTGACCCAAAAACACAGAGGTGGAAATATGTGGCGGTGGAAATTCATTAAGAAAAAGGAAAGTTAAGTAGGGCCCCCCAAGCTTGCGTGGGAAAGCCGTCATAAGAAAAACAGAACAACAGAAAACGGCCAGAAGAAGTTCCCTGGAATCACTTTCAGCTGCTGCCAAAGAATATATCTTCTGTCAAAGTCATCTCCCGGTCAATTGTAAAAGAATTAAGGATACCCAAAGGTGCTCTGGTCTCAAGGACAAAAGATCTGAAAGGGAACTCGTACCAACGCCTACAGATGCACAATGCGGCAATAGAAACAGAGTTTTGCAGAAGCGTCTGGTCGGAGTTGGGGGGGGGAGGGGTGGGGGGACAATGCATTAATCATCAAGGACCAATTCCAGGGCCAATCAGTGGACCAACAAGAAGAATGAACATTTTGTAGATCAATGCCATAAATGTCGCCGCTGCAGTTTTAATAAAGTAAGCTGATTTTTACGAGTCTTCACACTTGCCCAGGCCGCAGC